TGGCGCGGCAGACCTCTCCTGACCGCCCGCTGCTCCCCTCAGCAGTGTGCTTCCTCGTGTACTTCATCTATCTGCCCGTTCTGCTCCCCACTCTGTCTCTGGTGAAGCCTCTCACCCTCCGTATCTCTGGCCTGTATACCCCAGTTCTGCATAAATAAATAAATAAATCTTTAGAAAAAAAAAAAGAAGTGGTGGAGGCATAAAGGGCAGAAATGGCTCCAGGAGACCCTGAGGTCCCTTCTACCTGGACATGATCTCACGGATCTCAGCCTCCAGAGACTGTAACCACCAGAGTCAGCCCAGGGCCTGTGGGTGGGGCAAGGCCCTGCAAATTCCCTGCGGCTGTCCTTGTGCATGGGACCCAGCCGTGCGTCAGCCCCTAGAATCTGGAGTTGGTGCCACTATGCCACCTGCCTGCAGGTGAGTGGTGGGCTCACCTGGTTCGTGGCCTGACTCTGGCCTGCTTCCTCCCCAGGACATCTATGAGAACCTCGACCTCCGGCAGAGACGGGCTTCCAGCCCCGGATACATCGATTCCCCCACCTACAGCCGACAGGGCATGTCCCCCACCTTCTCCCGCTCACCTCACCACTACTACCGCTCTGGTAAGGAAGGGGGAACCCCCAAGGGGCGGGATGAGCCTGGGGAAACACGGCGGCCTGATGCCAAGCTGCAGGCACAGCACTGGACTCCCTGGGACTCCACCCAGTGTGGTCCTCTGCAGGCCTGCGGCTGCACTGGGACCCTGCAGATGGCCCTGGCAGGGGATGGACGGGTGGGGTAGCGGTGCTGAGAAGCGGTGAGAAGGTCGCTGTGAGCTGCCAGGAGGGCAGTAACAGGCTGCCGGCGGCCCTGCCCAGAAGATGGCTCCTCAGTCTGGCTCCTGCCTGCCCACCTGGATAGTAGGGGTGACTGGAAGAAAGAGCAGCCAGGGAGGGGCCCAGGTGAATGGGGTTGGGGAGTTCAACGGAGTGAAGATCGCGTCCTGAGGCTCGGTGGAACCCACAAAATCTGACTTTGGGGAAAAGCAAGAAAACGGGGTCAAGCCTGTTTCCACAGACACCGTGCATGATTGCACAGCCCTCCTCTCCACCCCGCTGCCATCACTCACTGCCGCCCCCAGTGCACCCGGCTAATGCCTGTCTCCTCTGTGCCTCTGTTCTCTCTGGGGACCACTGCCTGCACCCCAGGGCCCGAGAGTGGCCGGAGTTCTCCATACCATAGCCAGTTAGATGTCAGGTCCTCCACTCCGACCTCTTACCAGGCTCCCAAGCACTTTCACATCCCAGGTAGGCTGCCAACCCCAACACCCGCATGGTGCATGCTCCCCGGGGTCTCCGGACACCAAGGAGAAGCCGGTTCCCGGGCACCTCCCTAACCAGACACTTGTGCAACCCCGCATCCAAGCCCACATGCTTTATTCCACCACTAACAGAATCCAGCCTCGGTCAGGACCAACAGAAAGCGCAGGGAAGAGACTACATGTCTGAGGGTCAGGGGAGGTGGCAGTGATCATGCTGAAGATCGTGGACTTTTCCATACAAGTGGAAGCGATTCCTTTTCCCATGATCTCGGGTCAATTTTTAGCTTCCCTAAGCTGCTGCTGTTCCCTCTGTACAGCTGGGTACTTACTCCCTGAGGTTGCAACTTTGCTCAAACTGGCCCAGACCCCTGCCTTCATGGTATCTTTATGCTAATGTGGAGTAAACAAACCAATAAATGGGTCATTTCAGGTAATGGGAAGTGTAGCACACATCCTAAGACAGGACACTAGGAGAGAAGGACCAAGGAGGGAGATTGGGCACCATGGAGTAGTCAAGAAGGGCTTCTTGGAGGAGGTGACATTGATGCCCAAAGATGAGAAGCAGTCAGAATTGTGAAGGCCAAAGAAAGCATCCCTGGTGGAGGAAACGACAAGTGAAAGGACTATAAAACTGGCTGGAAGTGGTGACATGAGGGACAACAATAGGAGAAAAGAGGAAGTGCAAGGGCCTGATGGTCTTGTGGGTGTGACTTGGACAAGGTCTCATCCTGCGTTCAGCAGAGCCGGGCCTAGACCCAGCCTCCCAACTCTGAGCTCAGCTTTGTTTCCCACTCACTCTCCCTAAGAACTGTTGCTGCTGATCATCTCCACCTCTCTCCACTGCTCCAGGAAGGTCCCATCGTGTCTGTTTCAAGGGGGTAGAGGGAGATTGCTGACCGTGGCTGCAGCATTTGGGGACTCTGCATGGAATGAGGCCTGGCTGCTGCTGGGTGGTGGTGGCATCGCCCTCCTGCATGGGGTCCCGCTATGCGCATGCCGCCTTGTGCCTGCATGCCCACACGAATGCCTGAATGCCCGAGCCCCTTCTTCAGCTCCGTCTGGATCCGCCCATCCCCCTCCTGAACCCAGTGGGATGAGGTCGGGAGCTCAGCTTTGAAAACTCACCAGGGGAAGACAGCGGTTGCCTTGGGGAAGGTCACTGACCCTCTCTTCTGAGATCAACTGACCAACTCCATCTCTCCTCTGTTCTCTGTCCTCTCCTTACCCTCCTCCCCCTGTCCCTCCCCTGTCTGTCTGGCAGCTGGAGAAAGTAACATCTACCGGAAACCCCCGATCTACAAACGGCATGGTATGATGGAAGCAGCCAGGGCTCAGCCAGGGCCAGAGAGGGGCTCCCCAGCCGTGCAGAGGAGGGGCAGTCGTTCAGGGTCACAATGGGGAGGAGTTTGATGTCATTACAAAAGCACAAGAAAGGCCTCATGTGCCCTAAACCCTTTCCCACCTCCTTCCCAACCCCTAAGCCCTGGTGCCCTTAATTCCTCGCTCAGAGCAACATCTCATCTGTTTGCACCCTGAGAAGGTCACACTCCAAGGCACCCATCCTCAAATTGGCTAGTTGGTTAGCATCGGGTGGGAGGCACAGGGACTTGAGGGCCCCGCCCCAGACCTATTGGGTCACAATTTTGTATTTGTAACCGTTCATCCCAGTGGTTCCAGTGCCCAGCCAGTTTAGGAACCACTGCTTGGGGCAGCGGGTGGAGGCTTGGTGCCGTGTGCGTCACTGAGGTGCGCTCCTTCGTCCATTCATTCTCTCATGCAGGGTTTCTTAAAGGATGGTCTGTGGCTCCCCAGCACCTGACAGACTTACTATTGAGGCAGATGTACCCCGATCCCTCCCTAGACAGCCTGATCACAAATACCAAGAGTGCCCTGATTCCCACCTGCTCTCAGTAGAGCACCAGGACTCAGCCCCACTCCCCGGTCAGTCTGGTGTTCAGCTGGCCAGGTTCAGCCCTTCTACACAGGACATGGGGTGCAGCTGCCACCCTCACATGCCCATGTGTCTCCCTGGATAATGGAAGAGCCCAGAACCGGGCAACTGTGAACATGGGCACGAAGGGTCCCATACCAGGTCAACACTCACTCAGTGGGGTGCAGAGTGGGTATAAGCCGTAGCTCTAGATGCCAAGACCCACAATGTAGACAGAGCTTCCATTTCAGAAGGAGCTGGCCTGGGGCCCGGTGAGTGTACCCACAGCCTTGGAAGCCCCGGGTGTGCCCCTGGGGGTCACACTGAGGCACCACCCCCGACAAACAGTCTGATGTGGTGTTCAGACAGGGACCCCCACCCGAGCTCAAGCGCCTCAGGACTGCATGGAGCTTTCCAGATTGGCACCAAGGCAGGCGGAAGGGGAGTCTGGGGCAGAGGTGGCATGATGGAGAGGTAATGAGAGCAGCCACGTGGGGGGAGGGCTGCCCAGGACCCAAGTCAACGAGAATCAGCACGTTGGAAGCAAGTGGCACCAGGGAAAGTCCTGGCCCAGGACCCTCTGCTGCTCAGACACCGCAGAGGAGCAGAGGGCATGTCCCAACAATTTCTCTCCCAAGACATGATGGTGCTTGCTCCCTCTGCCCTCTCTTACCCTCACCAGCCTTTTGAGTCTCTTAGCCAAAGCTCCTGCCCTGGCCAGGGTCGCTGTCTATGATGGGTTCAGTGATCACCCCATGTCATGGATTTCAAGTAGAAATGGAAGGTGAATGGTATCTGAGCTAGCAGACCAATTCTGATCCTCTCAGGTGAGGAAACGGAGGCAGAGGGAGGCAGGATTTGTTCAGTGTAGTGACGGGGATAAATGGACCAGACCCAGGTCACTGACTCCCCACCCAGGGCTCCTTCCTGCAGGCCACCCTCCACTCACCCACCCCCAGCCCCCCCCCCCACACACACACACTTCAGGATTGGGTACTTGAGTGTGAGGAACAGATTGGAAACACATGGTGGCCCTACTTGATGATTTGCATTCTAGACATGACTTGAATCCATAACATGGCAGAGGGTGAGACAGACAAAGGCTAGGACTCACCTGGCACCTGTCTAAATCTTACTTGGAGGAGCCACAGCCTTCATGTTACCTAGGAGTGCCCCAGGACTGTCCATGGTGGTAGGAGCCTTGGACTGGGGCTGCCGGGCTGTGTGGTCACGGGTGAGCCCTTCCCTCTCTGGTGTTCAGATTCTCAGCATGACCCCAGGGCCTCCCAGCTCTGATGCTCCATGTCCCAGCTTCCTGCCCAAGTAGCCTGAACCCCTGGGTTGGAGCCTGGCTGAGACTGAGGACAGGGTACATAGTCCCTGCCACGACGCTGTTTCCCTGACACTCTCCTTACGTCCTTTGCAGGTGACTTGTCAACCACCACCAAGAGCAAAACAAGTGAAGACATTAGCCAGGCCTCCAAATACAGTCCCGCCTACTCCCCCGACCCCTACTATGCTGCGGAATCTGAATACTGGACCTACCATGGGTCCCCCAAAGGTAGGACACCCCACAGGTAACCAAGGACGGAGGACCAGGCAGGTGGCCCCCACCCCTTCACACCATCAATCACTTATACATTCAGCAAACCCATATTGAGGGCCAGTCGTGGGCCCTGGGGAGACAGTGGGAGCGAAAGAGGCCAGGTTTCTGCCCCATGGACATAGGTGTGCACATGAGTGCCGCACAACAGGAGGGGTCATGGCAGGACGGTACTGTCCAACCTGGAAAATGACCAAAGTCCCGGGTGCAGAGATTCGGTTGCTGTGGCCAGCGGAGGACCAAGGCAGCAGCAAAGATTAGCTGCATGGCACACACACGAGGCTGGGAGGGCAGCCCCACTGGAGGAAGGAAAGGCACTGGCTTACCCTTGGGCAGGGAAGGAGGCACAGTCTGCAGGGAGGGGCCAGACCCCAAGGGCTGCTTGGGTTGAAGTAGAGCTTTTGGCCTGCAGCCCAAACAGTAGAGACCATCTGCGCATGGGTAGTTCAGTGGTAGAATTCTCACCTGCCAAACAGTAGAAACGATTTGGAGGATGGGGGCGAGGATGCGGGGACCGTGAAGTCTCCCAAAGGCACCTGGCAAGGCTTCTTGGGGACCCTTGGGCAGCGTTCCACCCACACAGATAGCCCAAGTGGTTTCTTTCAAGTGTGGGGAGGAATGTTCTTTCTGTTCCTCTTTGATCAACACACTTTATTCCTTGAATGTCCGTTCTGAGCAAAGTTTCACAGGAGCTCAGAGGTCACCCCAGCCTCACTGCCAATAATTCATTTAGAAAAGAGGAAACACAGGCCCCACCCTGGTGGTGCAGCAGGTTAAAGCACAGCACTAAGATGCTATCCTCTGCAACCACTGCAACAAGAATTCAATCCCCAGCCAGGATGCTGACCCACAGCAGACCTCTCGTCTCTCCCACTGCTCCCCTGAATACTGAATACTGGACCTACCATGGGTCCCCTCAGCTGCTCCCCTCAGCAGTGGATTTCAGTTGATCCGCCTGATTTCAGTTGTTCTGCTCCCCACTCTGTCTCTTGCGAATACTCTCACCACCCCTCCCCTCTCTGGCCTGTGCCCCAGTTCTTGTATGCGTAAATAAATAAATCTTTAAAAAAAAAAAAAAGTGGAGACACAAATATAACACAACCAAAGTGGGTGGTCCCTGGTACCCCAGGAGATGCATGAGCAGAGGCTGCAAGGCCAGAGGAGCCACTCCTGGCCAACCTGAGGAGAGACAGGGAGCCTTAGATGAGACCACCCAGTCACCAAAAAAAAAAAAGAAAGGAAAAATGAACCCCAAATGGCTTACGGCAAAATAGGCCTTCCTAGGTCATGGACTGAAGGATTTTGAGGAGTATTGATTTGGGGCACAGCTGGAACTAGAGGTGACTGAGTGTCACCAGGGCTTGATGGATGGTGCTGCCCCATCACAGCAGCACACACTCCAGCAGGTACAGGTCACCTCCACTGTGTCAGAAAGACACTGTCCTACAGCCACAGGAAAGTGCAACACTGACGCTTTTCACTCTGATCAGGCTTCACCTGCCCTCAGAGCCCTAGACTGGAGCTCGGGAAATGCATGTTCACAGCAGCCCCATGTGGTGGGCCCAGAGTAGGGACATTTCACTAGAGGGCACACACCACTCAGCTTGAAAGCACCAGAGCCCACCTGGCTAGGCTCTCCTGCCCGTCTGTGTCCCCTCAGGGCAGGCTGAGTGGGAAACATGTGCCAGAACTGATGCTAGCTGTCTTTTGGCAGTGCCCCGAGCCAGAAGGTTCTCATCTGGAGAAGAAGATGATTTTGACCGCAGCATGCATAAGGTAAGTGGGGCTTGCCTGTGAGTGAGAGGCTCAGGTGCTGTGTGTCTGGGAGCTTCTTCATTTGCAAGCAACAGAAACCAGATTCAAACTCACTTATGTTAGGGAAAAGAAATGGCTAGCTTTGCCTAGCTGAAATGTCAAATGGTGGGGTTTGTTTCAGGTACGGCTCAATCCAGCTACACAATGAGTGGCCATAAAGAAATTGTCTCTCGCTCCTCTTGAGCCTGGCCTCTGTGTTGGCCTCGTGCTTAGGCGAGGTTCTCATGAAGTGGCAGTAAGAGGAAGGGGTACACCTTCTGGTGAAATAGTTTGGCTGCTCTTCACAAAGGTACCCATAGGATTACCACGGGACCCAATCATTCCACTCGTAGGCGCTCAAACAAATACTTGTACGCAGTGTTCATAGTAATCACTGTTCATGATAATCCAAACATGGAAACAACTCAGATATCCACGAACTCCCAAATGAACAAATAAATCATGGTCCATCCCTACAATGGAGAATTATTCGGCCGTAAAAAGGAGCGAGTTACTGTCCAGGCAACAATGTGGGTGAACCTCAAAACAATGCTTTGTGAAGGCAGTCAGGCACAAAAGCCCACATATTATATGATTGTATGTACATTCGTTGTCCAGAATAGGTAAATCCATAGAGATAGTATACAGTCTAGATCCGTGAATTTCATTTCAATTAAAAATGTATTTTAAGAGATGGGTGCCAGTGTCTCCAAGCGGAGTCCCGGGGAAGACTCTCCCAACCCACGTTGAATCCGTCGCTGTGGCCAGCGCAGAGTGACCATTGTTGGCCAAGCCTGCTTTATGTGCCCAGCCTAAGAATCCCACCTCAGCTGCAGTCTACTTGTGGAGGAAGTCCCAAAGGAAAATGTTGTGTCAAGAACAAGGTTCCCTGGGGAGGCAGAGATGACAGAGGCTTGCTGTAGAGTTGAGCATGCGGCCTTTTCAGAAGCTGCTCCACTCTGTGTTCTTTGCTATTTTCAAACTTATTCTGCCCCTCTCATGCCCACCCCAGCTCCAGAGCGGAATTGGCCGGCTGATCCTGAAGGAGGAGATGAAGGCCCGGTCCAGCTCCTATGCCGATCCCTGGACACCGCCCCGGAGCTCCACCAGCAGCCGGGAGGCCCTGCACACGGCCGGCTATGAGATGTCCCTCAATGGCTGTAAGCACTGCCCTGGAGACCCAAAAGCAAGGGGGTGCTTTCTTCCCTTCTCTGCCATTGAATTTGAACTTGGGGCTCACCTGGGTCTGGAATACAGATGTGGGGAGGGGCCAGGCCGTGCTCTAAGAAGTTGCTTCTGCTTCTTTGGGGGCATCTGAAGTATGGCTTTGAATCAGGTTCAGTTAAAGAAAAACATCATTTTTTTTTTTAAGATTTATTTATTTATGCATACAAGAACTGAGTTACAGGCCCAGAGGTGTGGGGGCGGTGGGAAGATTCATCAGAGACAGAGTGGGGTGCAGGGCAGGCAGATCAACTGATATACACTGCTGAGGGGAACAAGGGTGGGACAGGAGAGGTCTGCCGCACCATGTGGGTCAGCTCTCTGGCCGGGGATCAAACTTATGCTGCAGCAACTGTGGATAGCTTCACAGTGCTGTGCTTTAACCCCTTGCGCCACCAGAGAAACCCTGAAAATCATCTTCTAATGGTCTCTATAGCTCAGAAATTTAAAGGCCTACCTGTTGCAGTAGTGAGCCTCCTGTCACTGGAGGTATGCAAGTAGAGGCTTTCTTCAAGCACTTTGCACAGAAGAGAGGCCTGAGGTTAAGTCACTGGTACAAGGTCAGGAAGCCAGCGAGAGACAGAGCCAGATGAGGGTGACCACAAGGCCATAAGCTTTTCCCTCCTCACCAGACTGTACCTTGACTCCAGGTGAGAATAAAGATGATGGTGCTGCTGCTGATAAAGCCAGTTTTGTTCGTTTGGAGTCAGGCACTGTGCTGCTATGTTAATCTGTCGTGTCCTGTATTCTTCACAATGACAATACTAGAAAGGAGACCATACCCCCGTTTGACATACCCCGGCATTTGACAGATGAGAAAACGGAAGCTTGATCACCTTGCAGAAGTTAGCATCCATTAGTGGCAGAGCAGAGATGAAAGGAAGAGTCTCATTCCCTGTTTGACCACCGAGGGGCGCTTACCGTCACCCCGGGTTCTTCAGGGCAAGCTTCAGCTCTGGGCAGGGGTGTTAGTGCAGCAGGTTTCAAAAAGCACCTGTGATGCTCTCAGTGGTGGGAGATGGAACTGACCAGTGTGAAGGGAGGGAACAGAGGAGGACCCTCCCACTGGGGCAGCCCAGATGGCAGGGCCACGGACGACTATCTGTCCCTGTGAGCACTGATCTCTGACTTCTCTCTTGCAGCCCCTCGGTCCCACTACCTGGCTGACAGCGGTGAGTTCTGCCTGCTGGGCCCTCAGTCTTCATGGGACAGAGCTGGGGCAGCCACAGCGGCCCTGATCTCAAATGACCCACAGCACTATGCTTCACAGTCAGTAAGATTCCATTTTGAGGTTCTGGAACCAGGGTAGCCACAACCAACAGCTTCCAGGTTGCAAATGAAATCCCAGGCCTCTTCCATACACATAGGTGCTGCCTGACTGAGTCCCAGGGCCTTTACCTAGGGCACAGGGGTCATCAGAGGAAAATAGTGGTGCAGGGGAAGCCCAGAGGCTGCTTGGATACTTCAGATGGGCCTTAGGTTCTGCAGGAAAGTCGCCCCTAAGACAGTCAGTTGCAAATCTGGATAATAGCGGAAGGGACTGGTGGGGAGTAATATGGCCATTTGCAACCAGATGACATCAAGGAGAAGGACCCCTGGCTGGGGGTTCCTCATAATTGTTTTGGCCCCTTTTTTTTCAGACCCCCTCATCTCCAAATCTGCCTCCCTGCCTGCCTACAGAAGAAATGGGTTGCACAGGGTAAGAGGGTCCCCACATGGGGTGGGGGGACACCGTCCCAAAGATGCTAACAATCCCAGCCTCACCACAGCTCTAAAGGTCACTGTGGGACAAAGCCCCAGGGCAAGAAACCAAAGGCAAGACTGTTCTTTTCCCATGGGTATTCCCTGGCGCTCCCTGGGCCACCCTCCCTGCCAGACACTGCGCCGAGCACCTGGCAAGCCTTCCACCTCACAATAGGCACGGTAGATTCTATTATTAACCCTGCATGTGGGTGAAGATGTGGAGGCAGGTGCAGAGGGCACGTACCTGAGCTCTCATTCCAGTAAGTGTGGAGCCCTGGCCAGAGCCCAGACCAGTGGCCCCACGGCCCCCACCCAAATGCTGGCCTCCAGGTGAGTCCTGGCATGACTCGTAACCTGCATAGAGGCAGCAAGTTGGTTTCAGGACTGAGAGGGAATGAAAAATCGATCTTGTTAGCAAAAGGAGAGCCCATGTTACCTGATAGGTGATGGAAAAAGGGCCGGTCCAGTGGGACAGAGGTCTGTTTACAGAGCACTTACTATGTGCCAGGAATGTTTAGGTTCCAGGGTTACTGCAGAAAATAAAACTGCCACTCCCAAGTAGTTCATGTTCTAGCTGGGGAGACTGACAAGCACCCAGCTGGCATGCAGTGGAAGTCAGGGGTTGTAGTGCAGGGGGAGAGAGGGAGTAGGTGTGGATTAGTCGAGAAGGATAGATTCAGACAAAGGCCTGGCTGCCAGGAATTTCACTATGGAAGACCTACAGGAGGCATCCAGAGTTGGGGGTGGGGGGAGGGGGCGCGCGTCCAAGTGCCTGGGCTAAAAGGATGCAGTGGACCCCAGCCAGTGTCAGGTGAGGTGAGCCAGGAGAGGAAGCCAGACTGGAGGTCTGGATGTCCCTGGGGCCCTGGACTGGTAAGGACTTGGGGTCTCCATTAAGGGTGCTGTTTGGGCTGACCTAGGTTACTTTCATTAGACTTTGCCGGGCTGTTGCATGGTGGCTGCAGCGGGACCAGTGGCAACTGCAGACCTGTGGGTTGGAGCCCACAGGAGGGAGACGTCTAGGGAGAGTGAGCTCCTGCTGGGGAGCACGTGGGCCCCACCTCCACACGCATCCTGAGAGCCTTGTCTACGCCAGGCGCCACTCCCGGGCAGGCTTAGAACAGCCATAGACGAGACCCCTGCCCCTCAGACCTTATATCCTCCCCCAGAAACAGAAAGCAAGGAGTCACAGTAAACACGTTGTGTTTAATTTGGAAGTATTATGAATTTAGAAACTTTATATAGAATTTAGTATAAGTGTTCCGGGACAAAATGAGCAAGAGAAGGTTGGCGTTTGGGGAAAGAGGCGACTTGCCATTGTGGGCAGGTTATAGGCAAAAGCGGCATCTGAGCAGTGAGAGAAAGCCTGAGATGCCATTGACCAATTTGTGAGTGGGTATTGAGTGCCCACCAGGTGCAGGCATAGGGTAAGACCCCCACCCCCAGACCCCGGGGGGGATGCCCCTTTCTGCCTGGGTGAGTGCTCCCGGGAGGAGGAGGCACCTCAGGCCTGTGCTGGCCATGTCTTCCACAGACGCCCAGCGCAGACCTCTTCCACTACGACAGCATGAACGCCGTCAACTGGGGCATGCGAGGTGAGCACAGGTCTCTCTCGGGACTCAGGGACGGTTCATGCACATGCCTACGCATGACCTAACTGTGCTTGACCATTGCCGCAGACCCTACCCCGGTGCGGGGATCTCTCAAACCCCAGGTTCCCACTGCTGTCACTTCCCATTCCCTCCCGCTCCCCTCCTCTTCCCTCATCCTTCCGAGCCTCTGGCCTTGGATGGTGTCCAGGCCATCTGTCCCATCTGGGCTCCATCGGGAGCACTTTTCTCCCGGAACTGCTGAGTCAGGATTTCCTGCCAGCCCCAGGGGGGAGGGGAGACTCAGCCAAATCTGAGCTATTCCCAGCAAACTTGCATGAAGTCCATGCTCTCTGCCAGAGACGCTGCCCGGTCAGCCCCCCACAGGCTCCTGCAGGCAGCTCTGGCAGAGCTCAGTGCGCAGCAGAACCCTGGAGGCTGGGAGGGCTTCCCCCATGGGCCGCTTGACCTCGGATGCTTTTCATTTCTATTATCAGTGCTTCAAAAGTCATTTTCTCCCCAAAGCCATGTCTCTGGATCTGTTTGGCCAGGCACTGTGCTCAGACCTTGGCAATCTGCCACAGTGGGGCCAGCAGGAACGGAGTGGGTGTAAGTGGGCAGAGTAACACGTAAAGCAGAGAACGCTGGGTGTCCATTGTGCATGTCTGTTTTCTCTCCACAGAATACAAGGTAATGGAAATATGCAGACCTTGGGGGTCTCTGGACCCGGAGCTGCTACACTGGGGACCAGCCAGAGACTAACAGCACCGTGCAGGGAAGGAAACAGATAAATAACTCCAGGGGGCCTTTCAAGACAGAGCTTCCAGCTCCCCTTAGACCTCCTAGCCTTGAGCCTTGCCCACATCCCTTGTTCACTGAAATCTCATAATCCCCTGAGGCATCAAAGACTTTCTAGTCTTGACAGTCACCACACAAGAGACATTTACATTCCGGAGGCCAGTGGGCCACCTTAATTCCAAATGCCACCAGTTTTACCCCTGACAGTATTAAAGTCTCTTGGGTACCCTGGGGCTGCCAAGCAGTGCCAAGGAGAGCAGACCAGCTATTTCCAGACTAATCTTTCTGGGTAGAGGAGGGAACTCAAACACAAGCTGTGGCTAAAAGGAACAAACCCACCACTTCCTCTAGCCTAGAAACCTCCCTCTCTCCTCTCTCCTTAGATCTACCCATATGAACTGCTGCTGGTGACCACAAGAGGCCGGAACCGGCTGCCCAAAGATGTGGACAGGACCCGCTTAGAGGTAGGTCTGGAACATAGCAGGTTGGCTTCAGAGTGATCCCAGAAGTTGCCTGGTCTGTGCCAGAGCGGCGGATGGAATGAATGACTCTAGGGTCACACAGCTTACTGACTAAGCAGACTCAGCCCCATTTCCTTTGCCCAAGACTGTTCCCTGCTATCCTCAGTTCAGTTAGCCTCTGGGGTCACAGCCACAGCATGTCCTTACCTGGGGCTCGACCTCACACAGACAGCTGTCCTCAGACCTGTGCTCCAGGTCCTCAGTCTGTTAGTCAGCAGCGCATGGCGAGTTCTGCACATAGCCAGCAGCACCGACAGGGAGGGAGTGACACTGCCCAGAAATGAACACAGAGGACACTTGGCTCCAGCTCTGAGCCTGCCCAGCCAGACAGGAGCTGTGATGCTCTCGAAACCTCACTTTACTCCTTTGTCAAGTGGGAATTATTTGTGCTTCCTACAAGTTGCCAAATGATGCCAGCCCTTGGCACAGAATCTAGTGGCATGTGAGATGTTCCCCACAACGTCCCAATGTCCTACTACTGTTACCAGGATGACTGGCTTGGTTAGCACAGACTTCCAGACAGAGGGAGGATTTGAAGGCGGGAAGGTTGGGTTAGATGGAGAGAGGGAGGAAAGCCCCATGAACAGTGGGAATAGCATAAATAGAAGAGTGGAGGTGGCCCAGGAAACGACATCGGGCACTCAAGAAGTCCAGCTGCGTGGTGTGGAGCTCCTGTCCCAGGTCACTTCTGATCCACGAGTGCTCTTCCCTCTCCGCCCCATGCCTGTCCCTGCTTCTCCCATTTCCTAGAATGCCTTTCCCTTCTCCCCAGCATCCTCACTCCTTGGGTTCCCATTCTAGTGACAGGTGTGGCCCGAAATCTCTGCCAACCCTTCCCTAGAGGGTATTGCTTACCTATTCCTCCAGTCTCCTCCACCCTGTGTCCAGAGCACACATCAAGCCCCTCCCCATTGTATCACATCATCAAGATGTCCATTTCCTTTCTGATAGTCTGACATCTCTCGTAGGTCCTGGCTTAGGAGAGGTGTCAGAAAATGTTTGTGGAGTTGAATGCAGGCTTCTGAGGAAGCTCAACATATCAACATCCCCAAAACTGACTACTGAGAAATTTGTTCAGAGTAGGGAGTTGGGGAAAAATCAGGGTGAGAGGAAGCCCTGCAAGTCCTTCTAGCTCTGACAGGCTGGACTAGCAGCCCCAAGAAGTAGTGATCCCCCTACATTTAAAGGACTTCCACACATGTCTAGCAGTGAGTGTCTGCTGGTGCTGAATGGACAGCTCCATGGAGCCTGCATTCAGGGAAGGATAGTTTTGGAACTTGGTTCATCCTAGAAGAACAGTTTCCCCTCTTCTCACTTCATGCCACCCCAAATCTCAAACCAGAGAAGCACAACCTTTCCTAAGCACCAGGATCACTCAAGAAGCTTTTAAAAATAACAATAGAGGCCCACCTGAAACATTTACATCAAAATCTTGGTAAAAAGCCCAGGCATCTGTATTTCTTAGAAGCCCTGGGAATGTAGGCTGTAGAGACACCACCCTCATCCCCTGCACCGATGCAGGGAGATCTCTAAAGAAGGGAGACCATGACCTGGACACTAAGGAGCTGAGTCTAGCTCTTTCTTCCTTCATCCCATGACTAGCAAAAGCAGCTACACGCTAGGTGCTGTCCAAGGTGCTGTATATGAACAAATAGAGCAAAGATCTGCCCTTTGGAGCTGGCATTTTCATGTGAAGAAACAGACAGTAAGTGACAAAGAATCAATGGCAGAGTGTGTTGGCAGACTCTGACATCCAAGGCAAGGAGTAAAGGAGGACAGTGAAGGACTGGGAATCGAGCAGTGGGTTGCAAGTTTTAAATAGGCTGACAAGGAGAGATTGCCCTGTGACAGCACACAGGAGCCCAGACTTGAAGTGAATGAGGGGTGAGCCAAGAGCAGTGGGAATGGCCACCACCAAGTCCCTGGGAGAGGAGTGAAACTGGTGTGTTTGAGGACAGCAGGAGGCAAGTGTGGCTGAGTGCGCAAAGGAAAGAAGATGAAAGTCAAGGAAATGGGACCCTGGTCACCTGTATGACAGACACACAGATGGATCGTCACCATGGTGGGAATGGCCAGGGCTGATGCTTTCCACTCACCCGCCCCTGTGGCAGGCTCATGAGCCACATCACCTCACTCTCCCTCCCAGTCCCCCTAATGCAAGTGCTGGGATGTTTCCACTTTCCAGAAGGCTTGTTGAGGTAAAGTGACTTGCCCAAGGTCACACCAAGGTCAGCCAGACTCCAAAACCAGCTCTTCACCCTTATGCTTTAGAGTCTGTGATGAAGGTCAAATGGGCAAAGCTGAGGAAGGTGCCCTGGGAAACCTGGCAGTGGAGGCCCCGTGGGCCCTTGGGTGGAGAGTAAAGTGTGGAAGCTTTAGAGGCTTTACTGGAGTAGCACTACCATCCCTGTCACCTCTAACATGTCTACTGAGCCTCATAAAAAAAAATTTTGAGCATAATAGAGAGACCAGCTGTATCCACCACCTCTAACAACAAAAAAAGAGCAGAAGAGAATAAATGACTGTTGCCTATCTTTACTGAGAACGAAGTAGAGAGCAGAGCTATTCCTCACCATTCGTTTGGAGTAAGAGTGAAGCAAATATAGATGAGTCAGAAGCATGAATGTGAAGCAGGCACTGTCTGGACAGGTGAGACTTAGGGACGTAACAGCCAGACGTGGCGTGGAGGCCTGTTCAAAACTTGGTCGCACAAACCATCCTGTAAGACATTTTGGAGACGATTTGGAACCCTTGTTGTGTGAGGGATTAGGTGACCCTGAGGGCTTGCCACTGGTTGTTCCTAGATGTGGCTGTGGCCATGCTGTGGCCATGATGTGCCAAGGCCTCTGGGCGCCTGACAGGTGGCCAGTGTGTTTTCAGTATCTTCCGCAGTAATGGAATGAGCGTGACAGCCAGGCTTTGCTGTAAAAATACTTCCACAGAGGAAATAGACGAAGCAAATGTGCCAAACTCTTGATAACTGTTGAATCTGGGGTCTGGGCATGGCTATGCTATATGTCCTTTCTTTTTCACATATTCATGGAAGTTTTTCATGACAAGAAACACTTACTTATGAGTTTTTAATGGACTTGACCAAAAAGGGCCATAAAGGTCCCACATTTGGAATCAGAAAGTTTGGAGTTTCGCCTCAGCTCTGCCACTTACCGCCCTCCCTCGCTCTCGGCTGAGCAAGTTATTTTAATTCTCTGCCTTTCAGTTTTCTCATTTTTCAACTGGATGGAAATAATTGCTGATTTTCAGGGTGGCTAAAAAGGTTCAATGAGGAAAATGAGGGATGAATTATTAATTATAACCAAATGCCGTGCAAGGCATTGTTGAAGTTATTAGATAATGTTGTGTTGAAAAATCAACTCAAAGTCATCAGTGGCCAACAGCATCTATCAAAAGTGTCAACGTTACCTTTTCTTTAAGTTCTGGAAATGTGGCCAAAATGTTATTTCACAGTGACAGTGGCCAGAGGAGTGGCTTGGCATTGCCTGGCTACATACCTGCCCTCAGAGTCTTCTTCAGTGCTCTGTGGCTAATGTAACTACTACCAGCAGGTCATCTGGGTGAATCCAGGATGTTTTCAGGCGGGATATAGGCCATATGTTTCTCTCTTTCCAATGTAATTTAAAATTTCACTTTGAGAAAAATTTCAGAATTCCGAAAAAGTTGTTAGAAAAGCGAAATGAACATCCACCTACCATTCACCTAAATACACCAAATGTTAACATTTTGCCACATTTTAAGTGCCATCTATGTCTAACTCTAGAAGTGTTAGACAGTGTGTTAGCTTTCAAAGAGGGAGAGGAAGAAGACAGGCAGAAAGGGGTTGGGGGGGTGGGGTCAGGGAGTGCCTTGAATTCACAACAGTGCTTTGGCTGGCCCCATTTTAAGGACGTTTCAGTAGGTGGAGAAATAGCAACAGTAATTTTTTTCTTTGACTGGTCTTAGAACAACCTGCCAAAGCATTTGTAAAAACTATTGATGAGAGGAAATAGGAGTGATGGGCTTACCTCCCTCTTCTCCTAAAGGAGCACAGGATAGCATGAGTCCATGCTCCCTCATGGACAGGATCCTTGTAGCAGGGACACAGACAGGCAAGGTGAACCGGGCACATTGAGGGGCGTTAGTGAAACCCAAGTCCCACTTGAGTCGGGGGGTGAGAGGTGTCCCCAGCCAAAGCAGCTCCAGAGGCCGTGGTGAGGAGACACGCACACACCCACCAGATACATCTTCATCACACACTTCCCTGGCTGAGCCTCTCCCAGGCACCGGTCCGGTGTCCACAGGAAAAGTGGGGCCGGTGTCCACAGGAAACGCAGTGACCACTCTGCCTCCACCTTCCCCAGCCCACACCCCATCCTCAGGCTGTTCCCTCTCTGTCCCCTCCCACCTCCTTCCAGCGCCACCTGTCCCAGGAAGAGTTCTACCAAGTCTTTGGCATGACCATCTCCGAGTTTGACCGGCTGGCCCTCTGGAAGAGAAATGAACTGAAGAAGCAAGCCCGGCTGTTCTAGGCAGAGGCTCTATAAATATATATGCACTTATATAAAGATATGTAAAATCTCTATACTGAAGCTCGGTATAATCCTCTCTTGTGTAATGGGACTCACTGCCTGCCGTGAGACTTGCTTTTCTGTACTGCCAGGCCAGCCCACGCCATCGAGGTATTTTTATGCTCCTTTCTCTCTCTTTTCTAAGTGCTATGGGGTTTGGGAACGGATTTGAGGGGACTCCCATTCTTTGACCGGGAGCCTTTTTATACCGAAACATCTGTCTGAACTTGAGTCCCCCTAGGCCCAACTCTCTTTCCTAAAGGAGGTGCCTGATGAAGTCTCCCCTCCCTCTGCATCACGATGCTTTTCCCTGCTCTCAGGGCAGATGGTGACCTGCAGCTGTCACACCTGCTGGCCCCTGGGGAGCCCTCCCGAGGGGGCCACCTCCAAAGTTACCAAGCACCTTTGAGAGCCCACGAAGGACTTTCCCATCACTTCTGACTAGGGAATGGGTGCTCCTGGGAGGGTGGCAGCTGGAGGGCACCCCAAATCTCATCTGAACAGGACCCAAAAGTGAGTGGGGCCCTGGCTTCTCTGTAGCCCATCCATCCTCCTCCTTTCCTTGACCTCTTCCTGGCCCAAAGCTATGATTTGTAGTAGGAGAAGAAAAGGCATTTTCTTTTCCCACACCACTTCAGCTGGCCCCTTGGATGCGGTCAACCAGAGGGATGGGGCAGGAGCTGGGAAGAGGAAAAAGGGGACACCTGATTGAATGCAGTTGCAGGACCCTCCGCCTCCTCGCTGCCCCAACACCTCCTGACCTTCCCCTCTGGAGGCGCGGCCCCTGGCAGCAGCCTGTACTCTTCAGCCTTACTACAATCTATGTGCCTGACAACTCAACACACACATGGCTATTGTGGTCACAGCTCCAACCCAACAGCTAGACAGCCAGCCTCTAACCATACACCCAAAGGTAGCCTGGACCGTGCCCCCAAGAAAGTTCTCAGCCCACGGCTGGTCTCTAGGCTAGCAGGACGACTGCCAGACCCCTGGTGCTGGGCTCCCGCTGCACACTTCGCCAGGTCTCATGGGGGAGATTTCGGAAGATTGGCTGCTCACGAGATTCCAAAATGAAGCATTGGCCAGTGCCGCTTCTGCTCAGCCTGGATTTCCCCAGCGACTGCCTCTCTTGCCTCCTTGCCTTCTGGGACAGGGGTGAATGCTTAACCGACTCCCCTCACACACCTTTGACTGCAAGTCGTTGATGTCTGGTGGAGCCCATTCCTTCTTGGAGATACCTTGAGTTGGACTGTTTTGAAGTCGTGGAGGAAGGATGAAATGGAATGACAGCTGAGACTCTCCAGGGGCTAGTGACGGGACTTCAACAAAATTCAACTGACTTCAACAAAACTCCAAACCTCACCGAGCACCTGCTGTATACTGAGCACTGAGTAGGGAAAGGAGCTGGGCGCACTGGGATGGTCTGTGTGCCCCAGTCTGGGGGTCACGGCTGCAGTGATGGGTCTTGTAAGGCAGGAAGTGCTGGGAGCGGGCATGGGAACGTGAGTGATGGGACTGAGGCAGATGCAGTGGGTGCGATCGAGAGAAGCTTTCTCAGAGAGTGTGAGCAAAGTTCACGGTCTTTGTAAACTGGGAGGAGACTGTAGTTGAAAGGGTGAAAGGATGAGTGGCCAGGCGGGAGGTGTAATATACTGTCGTTTAAAATGTCAGCCCTCTCTGCACTTTCTTTTCTTTTTTTTTTTTTGGCCAAGGTCTTTCAACTTTCCTGACCCTTTAGAATGTCCCCAGCCAGACCGATCACTGACACTGCCTCATTATCACTGGTTGAGAACTTGGTGAAATTGAAGGGCTTTTGTTATTGTTGTTGGATATTTTTTGTTTCCCATAAAAGCACATAATTTTAAGCCAGCCCGGTGTCCTTCTGTCGTTTCTAGCGTGTGTAGAAGTGAGTGGCATGGAAAGAAGCTGAACCACACATGTTTTTCAAAATAAAAAGTCTGGGAAGAGCCCTGCCTCGACTTCATTTCTCCTTCTATAATGCAATCATGTTTGGTGAAGCAGCATTACTCAGACAGGGTCCTGCAAGATTATACAGGATGTTCAAACAACAAATAAAGTCCTGGGATTAAAATACTAGCAACGACAATAATAGTCCCTGCTATAAGGTGTCAATAATATGCTAAATTCTCTGCTGAGGACTTCACACACCATGTCATTGAAGCCTCTGTCACAGTCCAGGAGGAAGCCATGTTTTTTTTTTTTTAAAGATTTATTTATGCATGCATGCAGGACTGGGGTACAGACCAGAGGTTCAGGGGTGGTGATAGGATTCACCAGAGACAGAGTGGGGAGGAGTAGAACAGGTAGATCCGCAAAATACATTGCTGAAGGGAGCAGCTGGCAGGCCAGGAGAGGTCTGCCACGCCATGTGTGTCAGCTCCCTGGCGGGGATCAAACCTGTGAAGTAGTTGTGGCTAGCTTCATAGTACTGTGCTTTAACCCATTGCACCTCGAGAGAGGGCCCAGGAAGCCCTGTTTTTATCTCTACCTCATAGATGAAGAAGTGACTTTGAAAAGGACACAGAATAGCTGTGGTAGAGATAGGAGCCAGTTTCAGCATTGTCCACTCTTGTCAGTCAGGATGCTTCCAGCTGAAGAAAACCTTCTCAAAGGTGGCTTAAAAAGTGAGGACACGGCCCTCCCTGGTGGCACAGCGGGTTAAAGCATAGCACTAAGAAGCTAAAGCCACTTCCGCATGAGTTCGATTCCCGCCTGCCCCGGAGGAGACCACATGGCGTGGCAGACCTCTCCTGACCGGCCGCTGCTCCCCTCAGCAGTGTACTTCGTTGATCTGCCTGTTCTGCTCCCCACTCTGTCTCTGGTGAATTCTCTCGCCGCCCCTGAGCCTCTGGCCTGTACCCCAGTTCAAATAAATAAATAAATCTTTAAAAAAAAGTGAGGACACGCCAGACCTTGCACAACCAGAAGTTGCAGGACTAGTCAAGGAGTCCAGGTCTATGCATCTCTTCACACCACAGGGCTCAGCACATCGGTTTTTGACCTAGGTGTGTCCCTTCCCTTCAGTTTTACCGAACTTGCGTGGCTCCAGGCATCAGATGCTCACACCACCTCATCAAGAGGCAGAAAGGAAATTTCCCTTTGTGTCTCTTTTAATGTGACAACATCCTCAGAATTACTCAATAGTCTTCCCACAGGTTCTTGCAGCCAGAGCCTGGGGGGGGGGGGGCCTTGCACTTGCTGCAAAGGCTGGGAAACTAAGTGTATGGTATTTTCGGCCTCTGCAGTGGGAGACAGGGACCCTGCTGAATACAAAGAGAGTTGAGCAGACAGGAAATGGACCCAGGTGGGTGGATCCGGGTCCTGGCACAGCCACCTTGCCACTATGTACCCACTTTGTGTGTCACGAAAAGTCCTGGGAAGCTCATCTGCACCCAAGCTTTCACCCAGTGTTCACACACCAAGTCAAGACAGTTCCAGCTGAGAAATGTTAGACTTGCAGTCTTTCATTTATGCTACGATAGACACATTTGTTTTTCAGACTTTTATCTCTCTAACAGTGTGATGTGACTTAAAAATAGTTTCTCTCCTGACTGCTTGTTTTTTGGTTCATCTGATCATCATCCCCACAGACAGGTGGCTCAAAAGTGCAAAAGGATACTCAAGAATGTTTCCTTGCGCTCAAGAATGTTTCTTGCTACCTATACACTCTCCATAAAAAGTATTTCCTTGCTCAACATCAGCCTCCAGGCAGGAGCTCTGAGGACACAATTCTGGATGGCAGGTGTGAGTACTCATGGAGCGCTGGTCTAGAGAAGGCAACAGGGAAATAGAAGTCCCAGAAGGTTCAAGCTTAACACTAATACAGTGGCTAAATTTTAGCAGCCTTGACACAGGTGCAACAAATGTCTGAGGAGAAGGGACAAGCAGCCCTTTGTCCTACACCTGGAGACACCCCCCCACCGTCACTCCTCCCACCCCACCCAATACTCAGCAGATACCTGGCATGGGAATGTGGGGACCAGCCGTGGAAGGTGTCAGCAGCTGTCGCTGGTCCCTGCGCAGAATCAAGCTCAGAGCAGAAGTGCATAAAATTCAAGGGGAACATCGCATTGCTAAAACCCACAGCAATTAGCACCCAGAGTTACACAACTCCATGAATGCACCAAATAGAATACAGTTTTCAGTATAGCCAAATTTGCTATTTGGCCTTCAGTTTGATTTTTTTTTTTAAGATTTATTTATTTATTCATACAGAACTGGGGTACAGGCCAGAGATG